TTAAACGAAGATGCACCCCCCAACCTTTCATATTATTGTTCATTTATTATTGTTCAAAATGAGAAAGAAAAGAGGTGATGTTGGAAAGGGTTTCTTCTTAGGAGCTAGAATTTTTTTCCCAGTGGTGGAGTGTGTGCTGGTGGAGGGAGGGGAGGTCAATACAGTACACTTCCCGTACAAAATAACTTGTAATCAACATTTAAAATGCAAATAAAAAATAAATGAATGATTTCGATCAAACTCATCTATGAAAGAAATGATCGTGTTTTTAAATTTTGCAGACATTTTTTTTCTAACATAATAATGGCATACCTTTGAATTGCAAATGTAGAGAGAGAAGAATTTTTACAACACTGGACAGGTTACAGGTAAACATTAGTTTTATATGTCATTCAGTGTATTTTGCAAGCAACAAAATTATTTGTATCCTAACTCGTACGTAAATTATATTCTCTGAACGGCTATTAAAAAAAAAATAAGTCAGTGTTCATTGTTTAAGTTTGTTTATAACAGAAATAGCTACAGTGAAGAAGTATCAATAACATATTGTTATTTTATTGCGAATAAGTTGAAAAAATATCAACCACATTTGATTTTGAATATGTATATTACAAAAAAAGGATATTTAAAAAAAAAAAAAAATAATAATTTAACTTACGGAATGACGAATTCCCAGTTCAGCTAAAATTCGTCTATTGTCAGCTAAATTCTTCAGTCGGAGTTGTTCATATTCGCTGCACATGATGACGATTGATATAGTTTAAATGTTAACTATCAGTGAAACTACGAAAAAGTATTAAAAGCTAATCGAAGGGTACAAAATTAAAACTGTACTTTGTTCGGACTTCTAATCACAACCGGCGTTTCTGAACAGATCTCCCGCGAAATTTCCCCATGTGACTAAGCAGCCTTTGCTGATTGGGTAATACTCCGGACCGAGGGGTGTAACGGCGCGAAAAAGTGATAGGCTCCTCCTACTAACGGCAGAAGTTTAAATGTGTCAAGTGGCGATGAATGGGATGTGTGTTTTTTTTTTTTTTTTGTTGTTTTTTGATTGACTAAGAAAGTTCTCACGGTCAACATTGGATATGTTATTCAATTTTTTTCTTTATTATTAGTATTTAAAATAAAAACAACTTTTTATTGCCTCATAATGCAACTATATTTGTTTTATTTTTAAAAGTTCAAATTGATAAAAAAAATCTTTTTCTATCTGTGCTTAAAGGTGATCACTGAGTTGAATTAAAAAATAAATTATTTTTTTTTTGTTTCGGAATTTCTACTTAAATCAGGAGGATTTTTTAAAACACATTTAAAGCTAATTCCGTTTAAACCAAATATATAAATGAAAATTGAAAAATGTATTTTATTTACGATTGAGTTACCTCATGCACTTTCAGAGCATAAACGATTACGACTCTCCAAAGATTTCTTCATTTTTTTTTTTTTTTTTTTTTTTTTTTCCTCTACATCTGTGAATTACCATTTCATTTATTCCTGGAAAATATGGTAGGTAGTTTCCCTGTTGTCTGGTTTTGAATTCAAAGTTTTCCTTCTCTTAGGCTGGTTGTCACCCAAGGCTAGCTTCTAAAAAACATAAAGAACGAATATATACAAATAGTAATTTTTAATTTAATTAATTTCTGCAGATGCACAATAAAATAACTTTTTTTTTCTTATAATTTACCTTCCAAATTCAATAAAGTACACAAACAGAAAAAGCTAAATAAAGCACTGTCCTTTCCAATAAAGGATGGGTGGCAACCCTACAAACTGCTATTTAATCCATAGCTAGGAGGAGAGATGGATTTATATCTTTCCCAAGTGGCGATGGATGGGAACTGTGTGATAAATAGGAAGAAATCCTTCATATTATTATGTGCAATATCCCAGAGAGAGAAGTTGGGGACATCTTGACTGTCCAAAGGTTGGTGGCAAAGAGATTGAATTCAACAACTTTTGGTGGGATATCTGTTTTCTGGCAGGAACAGTTTCTGTTGCATGCTGGGAGAACTTTTATTACTCTTATTATTTATTTAATTTACTTCAAACAAAATTTTAATATTATTTGTTTCATTTTATTTTATTTATAATATTCATTATTATTATTTTATATATTTTTTATTTATTATTAATAAATTAATAATAATGTCACTACAGGTCATAGGCTGGCTATGAAGGAATAATGCCAGAGTTGTGAAATCTTGCATGAATTAATTTCAACTTTTTAAAAAAAAATTTTTATTATTAATAACTGCAGTGTGTATTTCCAGGTAAATTGACATCTGACTGTTTAAAGAAGACATCAAAAGTTATTAGTCTTGAAAAATGGACAAAATTTGGCATTATGGTGCTATCAAGTTTCTGCAGAAAAAGCGTTTCGTCCCCAAGCACATTCATGATGACATGGTTGCTACATTAGGTGATGACACCCTAGCTTCACAATAGTACAAAAGTGGGCAGCTGAATTCAGGAGGGGAAGGGAGAATCTTGACGATGACCCATGTTCTAAGCATCTCATTATTCATGCTCACCACATGGTGATGGATGACAGGCAACTAACTATAAATCAAATAGTCAATGCCATTACCATATTCCGTGAGAGAGTTGAAAATATTCTGCACAATGAACTTGGCATGATGAAGGTTTCTGCTTAGTGGGTACTATGTCTTCTGACACCTGATCAAAAGCACCCCGAGCTGATTGCATCACGGGAAAACCTGACATTGTTTGAGGCAGATCCAGCTGATTTTTTTAAACATTTCCTAACCCAAAGTCATCACTTTGAGTCAGAGACAAAAAGACAATCCATGCAGTGGAAACACCCATTCTCACCTGCTCCAAAGAAGGCCATGGTTATTTCATCTGCAGGGAAGGTGATGGCCTCAGTTTTTGAGATGCAAAAGGGATTATGTTTATTAACTATCTTCAAAAGGGCCACACCATCAATGGAGAGTACTATGCCAACTTGTTGAGACAGTTACAAAAGGCTATCAAGATCAAATGTCCAGTAAAACTGATAAAAACAGTCTTGTTTCATCAAGACAATGCCCCAGCACAAAATCCTTGTTTTCAATGGCTTCTGTGTATGACTCTGGCTTTGAACTGGTCAATCACCCTCCTTATTTTTCTGATCTGACTATCATCTGTTCTCCAACATGAAGAAACACTTGGCTGGGAATCAGTATTGCATTGATGATGACATCATATCTGCTGCTGATGACTTTTTTGACCATCATGATGAGCAGTCTTCTTTGAATAGCCATTTCTTAGTTTACCTGGAAAGAAACAGTACAGTTATTAATAAGAAAAGTTGAAATTAATGCATGCAAGATATAACAACTCTAGCATCTCTCCTTCATAGCCTATGCAAAAACCACATGTGGCAGCAATATTTGATACGCAGATGATAGAGGCTAGGGAATTTTTCTTGTCAGAATCTACCGTCCATCTTTAATATGTTTCCCATTCATCCGTGTATTCCTAGCAACATACCTAGCAATTGATTCAGTATAATCATTTCATTTCATGCTAATGGAAAAACCGAGAAGGTACAATAAATTATTGGATCATCTTAAAGATTCTCCCTTTCCTTCTTAAATTCATCTCCCCACTTTTGCACTGTTGATAAAACTAGAGTGACATCCCCTAATATAACAACCATGTCAACATGAATATATATATATAAACCCTTTTTCTGCAGGTACTAGACTGTACCACAATGCCAAATAGTGTTTATTTTCAAGAGAAATCACTACTAGTTACTTTTGATGTCATCTTTGAATAGTCAGAGGTCAGTTTACCTGAAGAAAAAACAATGCAGCTATTAACAGGAAGAGTTGAAATTAATGCATGCAAGATTTTTTCACAGCCAGCCTATGTACATTTCAGCCCACAATCGTAATGTCCTCTGTTTGATGATAAACTATATGTGGTAGCAAGGCCTTTGATTGGGAGTTTTTGAGGAGTGTGGAACCACCTGTTAGTTGCTGTTGTTTCAGATTCACCCTAACCTGGGGTGGTAGCACTTGTTAGGGTTCCAGCTATGGGCAAATAGTTAACTCCCAAACTGGGGTCAAAACTCTATGAAAATATAAAAATATAGATTTTTGTAGTAAAAATACCAGCAATACATTTTTGGAAAAAAAAAAAATTACCATTTTGGAAAGAAAAAGAAAGTATTACCAGCAATAGACTTGACTTTTGGCAAAAACCTCTTTACAAAAATACGTCAATGAAACCTGATCCACAAACTGTTTTCTTACAAAGAATATATATTTAATTCATACAAACATATCCTAAAAATCTTGTCGGCATTAAGTAAACCCATTGAAGTTGATATACTGTAAAACAAAATAAACCAAAGTAAATGAAACCCACTCTCGTGTATTCTAAAAAGACACAGATGCAAGTCTTTAATCCATTAAGGCCCGTCATAAAATCTGGCATTAAATATAGATATAAAAATAAAAATCTAACATTAATTAATTACAAGGCGTATGGATATCAATATTGAAAATGGAATTGGTAAGCCAAGTTTCAATTTTGGCCTAGCCTCCTACATCCTCTTTCACATGAATTTCATACTACCAGTGTCACATTCCTTTCAACTACTACCAGTGATACTTTATAATGTTATAGTATTTTTGGTATTTTTTTATTTTTTTTTTTCAAAAATGTATTGCTGGTATTTTTACTATAAAAATCTATTTTTTATACTTTTATAGTGTTTTGACCCCAGTTTGGGGTTAACTATTTGTCCATAGCTGGGAAATGAACAGGTGCAACCACCCTGGGGTTAGGGTTGACCTGGGAACAACTCCAATTGAAAGGTGGTTCCATGCTCCTCAAAACCTGATCAGAGGCCTTGCTGCCAGATGTAGTTTATTGTCATACCCAGGACACTGTATCTTTAAAATGAGCCTACATTTTCCCCTGCCTTCTGCATGGATGTATATTATTTTGATATATGTCTTTTTTTCTTTTTTTTTTTCTTACAGATCAATAGTCATCAGTTCTTGCACAACAACTCAAGCCCCTCTGCTAAAATGGCCAAAGTCACAATAAATCTAACAGAAAATGAGCAACAAATGCCACTGTCAAGGACTAATCAGCATGATATCCAGCCACCAACTCAGGCATATATTCGTCAATCTATATCAAATCCTGCTGTGTCCCGAAAAATGAAATTGTCTACTCCTGTAAGCAGCATCAGTCAACAGCCCCGGCCACAACGGACCTTTAGTTTCATGAAACAACAGGTAAAACCAGTAAGTTTGATAAAAAACCAAAATTCTTTGCAACTTTCTGCAAGAACACAAGAGCAGCCAATGAAGATGAGGCATTTGACTAATTCCTTGGCTTCACTATCCAAGACAAGGTTGCCAACCAGTTCTCAGGTAATTTTGCATGAGGCCTTACAAGAACCAGGAAAACAGGGTTATATTTCTCCAAACCAAGTATTGAACAGGGGTCAAGACATCTCTAACAGCACATTGCCTTGTGGTTCTAATTTTATTACTCAAAATAGCCAACCACTGAATAGTGGCTTGAATTCTTCACAAAACTCTTCATGTGCTGAGAATTCAGTTCCAGATGATTCTACGCTGCCATTGGATTATGAGAAATTTTTCGAAGAAGCTTCTAAACTTCCAAGAATGGGTTGTGATGTCTTTGTTCTTGTGTCCTATCCAGGCTGCAAGCCAGCTTATTGGGGGACGGACAAGTATGTAAAAAAGTTTGAGAATTCTGAACGTTTGTTGCCATTCTCTGCCTCCGGCTGCCTTTCAGTTAAACTGAAAGGTTCAATGGACAAGCAAAACCTTTTAGCTAACAATCTTGAGCTTTCACAGCACATACAACCGCAGTTGGATGAGATCGATTCGGCTGGAACCAGCCCTAACCTGAGATTGGTTATAAAAGAAGAATTCGGAGAAAACAATGGGGATGAAGACTCAGGCATTGCTCAAGACGTGGTCAAGCAAGAACCTTCTGATGTTGAAAATTTTCAGCCTTTAATCAGTAAACGTCAAGCAAGAATCAAAGTTACAGCACAAAGATCCAATAATTCCTCGACAGGAAAAACGGATGTCGAATCTGTCAAGAATAGCATCCCATTCAAGAGAAATTATCAGTACAAGCAACAGTTAAATACAACAAATGAATATGTCTTTTTCCCTGAAAATAGTAACAGCCTTGGCAACAGACTTTCACTTGTAGATAAACAAGCGACTAATTTCTATGACAACGTTCTTGTCTATAAAGATGAAACTAGCAGTGAAAGTTTGTGTCAGTCACCCACTATGGACAAAGAAGGTTTGTCCACAGGCGATTCCATGCACAGGTTGCAGTCTGAAATTGTAGAACCAAGTCGGGTACTTATAAAAATTGAGCCTGAAACCGATGATTACGGGGAACTCAACAGCCTTGTGTACACTGAGTATGGATGAGATTTCTCAAAAGTTTTCCCTGTCAAGTAAAGCCAAAAAATGTCTGACCTGGAGTTGTATTTTGTGTGAAGACTGATTTGCATTCATTGTCAAAATCTTTGTAGCTGTTTCTATGATTAAAAGAATGTTTAATATTAAAATCAATAAAAACTTGGTTACTAAGACAACATAATGAAGTTTGCACATATACATACATTCATTGGTGCTTGTTTTAAAAAAAGAACATGCATTTTGCTCACAAAATATAAATCAGTGATTTAACAATAAATTTAATCATGTGCCATGTCTTCTATTCATTCATATATTCCTAATTAGAGTCATTGTAAATTATATTAACATGTAAATACATTGCTAATGATTTTACTATAGTAAAGCATTGAAAATTATATTAGTATGTAAATGTATTGCTAATGGTTTTATTATAGATATTGCATTGCAAATGAAATATATATAAATGTCTTGCTGATGATTTTACTATAAAAACGTGTTGCAAATTGAATCTATATAAATTCATTGGTAATGGTTTTACTATAGAAGTGTCTTGCAAATTGAATCTATATAAATTCATTGGTAATGGTTTTACTATAGAAATACATTGCAAATTGAATCTATATAAATGCATTGCTAATGATTTACTATAGAAATGCATTGCAAATTGAACCGACATAAATGCATTGCTAATGGTTTTACATTGCAAATTATATCAGTATCTCTGTTACTGACTGAAAAATTTTATATGACTACTGTTTATGCATGGCTAATGATTATATTATTAAAATGCATCGACAATCAGGAAGAAAGGGATTGTCAATGTTCAGCAATTAATGCAAGCATTACTGACAAAATAAGGATATTATATAATTTGTAAATGTACTGTAAATTATTCCTTTGTAAAAATATTCTAAAAATTGGAAAGGCATTGGTTAGAAATGATGGCATCAAAAGAGGCTTAGTAAATGTCGAATGTAAATGCATGGCTAATGATGTTGCTATTGAAATGAAGTTTTTATAGTTTTCTGGCACTTTCCAAAGGTTCTACTTGCTGGGATCACCTCCCCATGCCAATAATATTTAAGATTTGAACCCAGGTCTCATAGTCAGAAAGTGAACATTCTAACCACTTGACTATGCACCCTACAGAAAAATGATATATGTATAATGTAAATGCATTACTAATAATTTTTCTATTGAAATGTATTGGCAATTACAAAGAAAGAGATTGTCAATGGTTGGGAATTAATGCAAGCATTACTAGCAGAAAATAGGTATTATAGATGATGTAAATACATTGCTAATAATTTTTTTATAGAAATACATTGGCAATCAGGAAGAAGGGGATTGTCAAGGATCAGGAATTAATGCATGTATTACTGACTGAATAGAGCTATTATATGTTTAATGTAAATGCATTGCTAATGATTTTACTATTGAAATGTATTGGAAATCAGGAATAAAGGCATTATCTGTGGTCAGGAATTACGGCAAGTGTTACTAACTGGATTGGGCTATTAGAATATTAAAGACATGCAAAAATTGGCATTGCTGACCTAAATCTTTGTTACAAATGAATTTCACAAGAGCTAAAATAATCTTCAATTTATATATATATATATATATATGAGATAACGATACATATTTTTATATATCAAGAATACTATTGCGGAAATTGTATGACAAAGTGTAAAAAGTTTACTTGTAACATGTTTCATCCTTCAGGACTTCATCAGACTAAATTTGTTATGTTGGTATGACTACACATGCACACAAATGAGGGATGCTGGGAATTTACAAAACAGTACATCAAATGTGTTGGCTAACCACTGTAACAAGACTGACCACAACTTTGACATAAAAATGCTACTCTGATCAAAGGAGAAAATTCACTATAACGTTAATGTCTAGAGAGTGCCTTGATCGTAAGCTCATCCACGGTAAATTTGTACCCTGGCTCTTACAACATTTCATCATTCCTGGCAGATCTTTAATATTACAGTGTGGGATACCTACTAACAAAAGTGATGGAAAGGAAAAGACTCTAAATGAATTTGTATAGATAAGAAAAAAAATTCTAAAATTCCCAGCACTCCTCATTCATTCATATGTGTAGTCATACCAACATAACAAATTTTGTCCAGTGAAGTCTTGAAGGATGAAACATGTCACAATTAAATTTTTTACACTTTGTCATACAATTTACCCAATATATATGTGTGTGTGTGTGTGTGTGTGTGTGTGTGATGATGGACTCTCTCGTTGAGTTTGATGTATGAGGTTCTGATGACTATGAACTAATTATCTGCATGCCTATGGCAGGCATGACTTTTGAGACTGGCTCAAGAATTGCACAAAAGACCACAAACAGTACAGTAGAATGTATGATATCCAAGTGCAGCAAGAACATTGTTAGCTGTTTTATTTTGCTTTCGTGTTTCACATAGTCAAATGATGCTTACTTGTTGATGGTGCATTATCCCTGAATGACAGCTAGAACGATACTCTGATCTCTTCATGGCTACCTCTTCAAAGTTCTTGAATGGAATTTTGACGCAAGAAAGGTTGCTCTTCAGTTTATCCTTATATCTGAGCCAAGGTCTACCAACATTTCTCTGACCACTTCAGAGTTCATTGTAAAAAAGAACTTTTGGTATGTGATCATCATTCATTCTTGCCACATGACCAGCCCAATATAGCTGTGATTGCATTATGAAGGTCTCAATGGTACCAATTTTGCATAAGGAACGGAAACAACAAAGACATAAATATGTGTATTACTTAAAAAGTAATGCATGATTAGCAAAGAAATTTTTACTGAATAAAGATTAGTTACAAAAATTTACATAATAGTTTTTTTTAAATAAAGATTAAATGGAACAAAGGAAATAAGCTACTGGACAAAAGTTAAGGAAAAATCTTGTTAATACTTGATTGTGAACAAAATATCAACAAAATTTAATATTTGGTAAACATCTCTCACATACATTCATGTCTGCTCAAAGTGTATCCAAATGTAAACAAATGACGTCACACATTATAAAATAGACAAAGTCCAACAATTGTTTTACTTAAATATTTGTATCTATAAAAAGAATGTATAAATATAAAAATGTCTTAAAATAACTGTCGGACTTTGTCCATTTCATAATATATATATATATATATATATATATATAAGATCTTAAGATATGAATGTACATGAGAGATTCATGGAAGATTGTAGTTTAAAAGCAGTAAAATTGACCTTGCTGACCGAACAATCCTCTGTGGCTCAATTGGTTAAGGCACGTCAGGCTATATGATGGTTCCATATAGGATACAAATTTGATTCCTGTCGGAGGACAAATATTTTCTATGAAAATTTCTTGGACATTCAGGCCAGTAAATGTTATTAATACTGTTTATTATAAACAGAGCATTTACTTAAATATTTGTATCTATAAAAGAATGTATAAACATAAAAACGTCTTATACATATATATATATATATATATATATATATAGATAATATTAGTGGAAAATATACATACATATGAAAAATATATCTAAAAAATTCCCATACATGTATATTTTCAGAAAAAAATTTTCCAAGAGGAAGGATCCGGGTAGAACTCAATGTCTAGGACAGAGTAAGGATATAATAAAAAGGCTTAAACACTAATATTCCATGGTCATAATTTATTCCATTGGAATCAGAAATACGATCCAAATCATCAGACCTACAAATTCAAAAATGAAAACAGAAAAAAAAACTCGAAATCAAAACAGAATTTAGAGAAAGTGTAAGTATGAGGAGGAGTGACATGAAACCTAACAGAGAGAATTTTTGGAGATGTGGGTGGGGTGGATTTAAAAGAGGAGAGAAAAGAAAGTCGACGGATGTCTTTTACCATTGGTGACATATACACAC